AATATAAACCGTATTCATATCTTACAAAAAAAAGCCTTAAGAATTGTATGCAACACCCATTATCAGCATCCATCCTTGCCTTTATTCATCAAAACAAATTCTCTCACAGTGTATGACATTTATAAGAAGAATATTTCAATTTTTATGTATAAGTACTTCATGGGACAAGTACCAGTGTCCTTTAATAGTTTTTTTCAGACTTATGGCTCTGTACACAGATATGGTACAAGAAATAAAGATAACTTGTGTATAACAAAAAAGAACACAAATATGGGACAAAAGGGCCTAACATATATAGGGCCTAAAATCTGGAACGATATCAATGTTGAATTAAGACTCAGTAATAGTATTTATAAATTCAAAAGAAATTTAAATAACCATTACCATGAAAACTATAAGTGTAATGCAAACCTTTGTATAAATAATTGTGCTGTATGTAATCATATTTAACTTTTCTTCAGAATTTTCAATGACTATTGTTACTTTATTTTTAAAATTTATTCTTTTGTGATATAGTAGTTAATTTTATTTCATAATCAATGGGCGCCCGTTATAAAGCTTGCTTGTTGTGGCGACCCTTTTTCCACTTTATTCAAATGTTCTGTCTATGTATTTTGTATTGATATTGATGATGTGATGTGGAAATAAACTTTATATTGAATTGAATTGAATTGAATCATCATCATCATCATCATCATCATCATCATCATCGTCATCATAATAGTTATCATCGTCATTATCATTATACATCAATGACACTGTATTACTACGTCAGTCCACATTATTGCTACGTTTAAAAATACCAACAGTTGCTCACAGCTTGACCATGTCCTTTTTCTGATGCCCAGCCGCCAGGTAAAATGCCGTCATATTTATGTGGTTGACTTTATCGAATGAAACGCCATGCTCGCCCGAATGAAGTTTGTGAATGTAGTCAACATAGTCATGGCCTAGACCATTAATATAACTTTTCCTGAAAAACAATGGTGGAATGAGAACGACGCAATTAACTGATTTAGAAAACTGAAAAAAATAAAACGTAAACATATGTTTTAGAAAATAAACTTGAACAGTAAAATTTAATATTCAAATTGCTTTTTTGCAGTTTAAAAGCCAGGCTTTAATTTAATTTGATAAGTTGTACAAGTGATAAAGTGAAAGGGCGTTGAAAAAGATGGTATAGGGCCTACTCCCTTTTCCTCCAGCTTATAATTACGCCTATTCAAAAAAATCGGTATCTCATAACCATTCCCAAGTTTTTCGTCAAACACATCTGTGTCAGTTGTCAAATCAGTCGTACAACATATAAAAACACTTTTTTCCTCCGGAGCCTGCCTTAAATTAGGTTGCAAGTTCAGTTAAAAATAAAACTATAAAATATTTTAATCGCCAATTTAAAGACGCGTATTATTTTACATTGGTAATCATTTTAAGGATTTAGCTGTGAAAAGTAGGTAGGCCTATATCATCGTGAATTTATTTAATTGGATCTATGCCTAATTGTCAATAACTTTATTTCAAATTAGCAATAACTTTAATGTTTTAATTGTATTTTTCATAACTATTTTACCACAACAGAAATATGATGGATAGTAAAAAGAGAAGGTATTACAGTAAAGGTTATTTTAAGGCAAGCTGTAACACAGGATGAGCCGCAGGCAAAGTAATGTAGGCCAGATAAGTTTCCCCATTGTAGGATAATAAAGTTTTATTGAATTGAATTGTTTGGGTTGAACCGGCATAGATTAAAGCTGGACACTCACGCGCCCCGTGGGCGCGCGTCGACTCGATGCTCTATGAAAAAGAAGCAACGACACGACGCTCAGACCATGGAGGTATAAAACCTCCATGCTCAGACTAACACCGGCAATCAGCAGACATTGTCGCGCCGTCAGCGCTCACATGGAGCGGAGTTGGGTTCGTCGTACGACGCAGTGAGTGCCCAGCTGAACATACTTCAGTTCCAATCCTGCATTTCTGTTTCACCTGAAATGCCAGTTATTGTATACCGGTAGGCCTACCGGTATTTGGATGAAACGAGGCCTAGCTATGGAAAGCAAACACAAAGAATACACTTATACAGTAAAAACTAACAACATTTAGTAACTTGCAAAAACGAATGACTCTAACAAACGAACAACGCAAAAATGGAAGAAAAAAGTACTGTATACTGACACAATGCACGATTTAGTGAAAAAAAAAATAACCAAGTAATTAATGCTTTCGCAAAATTAAGTTGGGAAAGTGCGCTTCACATCTGAAGGAAATATTATGAACAGTACGAAATACGACGATGGTGACGGAGTCGACGACGCCAGGAGTGGGGCGGTGATGATGATGGTAACGATGATGTTATTGATGGTGGTAATAATATTAATGGATGATAGAGCAATAACATGAAAATATATTACATAACAGGCTACACGACAGAGACATCAAGTTACAAAATAATTTCACTCTACGAACCTGAACATGTTGAAGTTACAAATTGTCACTGCGGGAAACTCAAGGCTGGGCTCATAGACCACCTTGACGACAGAGAGTATGGGGCGTGACATGAGATGCTCAACACCAACCCAAAGTTGTATGGTAAGCATGATCAACCCGAAAATAAGCAAAGACAGCCAACAGAATCTAAAAAAAGTATCAGTTAAAAATTGAAACATGAACATAGATCACAAATCTTGAACTAAATCTGCTTTTATGTTTTGTTTTTTGCATATCAATAGATTGTGTTTGTCATCATCACAAAAGGCAAAGATAGAAAACAGGGTATTTTGAAAGCAAAATCATGTTCAACGTACATAGTAACTTCTTGAACGAACTCTGAAGAAGTCCGAACAGGATGGTAACTATTAGGCCTTTCAATAAAGGACTATACTTCGTATGACGTCAGCTTCTGGCACTGATTTTTTTTTCTCTGACATTGTGTAAATAATATTATTTATATGTGGCTGCCATTCACTATATTAACATTTAGATTCCCTCAGTTGTTTTACGGCAACAAATTTTCAATAACTTTTGAGTTACTAAAAATAAAATAAAAATTGTTTTGATACACGCGCAGTGATAACTTCTTTCTATTGATTTATAATGGTGTTTAAATAAAGCACACTCCTCTTTATATCAATAAGTAGAAAATACTTCATGGACTCACAAAATTTTAGAATAATGAAATATGGAAATATGCCTAACTAATAGAAAAAAATGCGCCTGTCTTTTTGTGTGTAATTGTATGTAGTGCTACAATATTTGATAAAAACTAATGACGTTTATCGACAAAATAATTTAGATGTTGATGACGTGTCCATTAGTCGACTCCAACGTTTCATTTAAGATACTATTAAGCAAATCGATCTTCTAAAAATCGAAGACCTTATTTGAGACGCTCAAAACATAAATCACAATGTATGGTTGATAATTGGGTTTTCACTTAAGAAATACTTGTTATTACATGATTAATTATTTCAATATTACCACACTGTAATCTATAGTTAATTGGCATTGAATTTAATGAATATACATGTCGGTATTATTATTGAACAATGCAGCGTCCCGCTAAACCCCGCCCAATCAATATGATTGCTAAGCGAGCGGTATCACAAAACGTGCGTAAACGTACGTAAACACGTGCGTTTGTGGGGAAACTCGTTTTGTGCTTGTGGGACAAACGCCTATTCCTAGTTCTGTTCCGATTGGTCAGCTCATGAGTTCAATCAAAGATAATAAATAGCAGAAGATAGAGCAGCTTCCCAATAAAGTGGAACATCCGTTCCAAAGGCATTGTGGGTACACGGAGAGCAATTTTACCCGGTCCTCCCGGCGGCGCTACCGTATATAATAATAAAGGCGCCGCTCTGGTTAGTTTGTTTCCTGTAGTTTCTCCACTTAGTAAAATATTCAAATTGTACCCCATTCGCGGGAGGGCGGATGTTCCATCAATTTTAATGCAAGTACGCGGAACAGCTCATTCTTCTGCTATTTAAGTTCTTTGGTTTAATACAGGCTCCAGAAAAGTCCATACTGATGCATCTATGAGCTTCAAAGCGAACAGGGACCTGTGGTAAAAGGGATTTATTGGTTATGAATCTTAAAATTATCATAAATTATATTTACAATAAGTTATATAATTATTATACTGTAACTGTGTAGGCAAATGTTTATTAGTATTTTAGATTTTAAGTTTTATTTTAAATTGTACAAGTGTAATCGAAATAGTGTAGTAGGAGACCTACTTGATAGTGATTTGGTTCACGTTTAGCAATTCTGTCTCTTTGATATTTTGAACTTATATTATGTTGTATTGCAACCGGTTGTTGTTTTTGTGTATTTTAATGAGACAAAATAATGAAATGCAAAAGGAACCAGTTGTTTGCACTAATAAACTAAACACAAATCCACTTTCTAAATCTCATGATGATCACGTTTTGAATATCAATTTCATCTTGCAAATGGTGAGTCCGTTTAGAGAATGAAATCAGCTTTTTGTTGAACTCTGTGCTTTTCATACAAGGCACTCGAAAAGCTATTGCATAAAACTTTAACCTTTGCTCTTTAATTTTTTTTTTCTTCTCATTTAACAAAATTCAAAATTACCTAATATTTTATTATATTATATTATTATTATATTATAATATAATATTATAATTATTATCATTATATTATGAACACTTTTATTTATGTTACGCCTATTCTGCTATACGATTCAAAGAATGAAAAGGCTTTCTTTCTACTTTTTGTAATCATGAATTTTTATGTAGACATGCGTGTCGATACTCACTTTCTAGATGTCTTTGAGTTGGTGTCTGCTATATAGCTAAGGCCAATAACACTGCTTTTTTCACTGTAAACCTTCAAAGCTTTCCACAATGAGAGTGCCTTTCGCGTTTGCCTTATCGTCTGAACAACTTCTGCCATGTCCATCTTCTCTTGGTCGCGAGGATTTCGAATCTCTTTTGAAGTAATCACTGGCTCTTCTGGCACCACACCCGGGGGAATGTATTCCACTTCGGGGAGGAACGCTTTGTTAATTCGGCCGTCGTACTTTTCCTTTGCCAAACGTTTTAAGACACTGCGATCAAGATCCGCCTGGTGGTCCTTCGAGTTAGATGTTCTAACAACCACGGGAACAACAACTGAATACATATTGTCTGATTAACTAGAGAGAGAGTAAATGGGAGGCGTAGTAAGTTCTTTATTTTACTGCAATGGCTATTCTTACACCATGGTTTTTAAACCAGCCTAATTGTAGATGTTATATTGTATGTATGGTTTGCATTGGGTACACCAACATCCAATCAGGAATTAAGCATTGTTAGTTATACATAGTCGCTGCTTTATTTAAAGTCACTCAAACCAGACTCAAGACAGTAGCTTATGATACATATATATGAACTTACAAGTCATGTAGTGACATACGCCTAAATGCTCAACATGGACGACACAATCTTAAAATTACTGTATCCTAAGGGTAATTATGTTACTACCTTTGGAACTTTGATTTTATTTTAATTCGCAATCCCATAGAGCATAGATAGATAGACTTGTCGGCTGACGGTCGTACGGCCGTCGTATGAGTTTCTCTTAGGAGTCTTGGCTCTGTAAAGTATTGTCAAGAAAATATACTGCAAGCAATGCCGTAGCCAGCTGTTGGGACAGTCCCACAAATTTTTTGTATTAAATCCTCAATATTTATACAAAGGTGGGTCCACATTTTCAAAAATGGGTCCAGATTTCTCATATTTATGCATAAAATTGGTGAAGTTGTAAGAAAATTGGTCCACATTATTTGAATTTACGATTAAAATAGGTCCACCCTCATATTGTCCCGAACTGTTTGAAAATCCTGGCTACGGCATGGCATTTGCTGTAAGTCGTTATTACATAGCGGAATTCTTCAATGGTGTGAAGTATCAAGTGAGTTTAGGAATGACGTGACTCCACCCTAAACAAAAATCAACTGCACCCCAAGCCTTTAAACTGAAACTTGGTTAGAGCAAGCGCATCGAGGGTCCCAGATGACAATGAGCCTCATCCTTTTCCCAAGTACAGTGGCGTAACGCCTATGCGCTCTCGTACGGTGGTCTGCACGGCTCCCAACCCCTGGGGACTCCGGTCCCCTCCCTTAGGGTCCTCGCTCTAGCACCCTGATACCAAAGAGCTATGTTGATATATAACAGCATATTGTGTCTCTGACATTGACTGTAGGACATATCATATCCAGTGACGGATTAAAGTAGAGACAAAAAAAATTATATTCAAATTTTAACTGTCTGAGTGTCATTTCCGGCACTCGGGAAGTGCCATAATTATAAGTTTTCTTACCTCAGCCATGGTGGGGCTGAGGTGGTATAGACCCTCCATCTGTGAAATAGACCCCCTTCTATTGGAAATTTCTGGATCCTCCACTGATATCCTATCATGTATTTCGTCGTTAAAACACAATGACAAAACAACAATTAAAAAGCGAGCACATCTAAAAACCAACGAGACTGAAAAGGGGCCTCGGTATCAGAAAGCCACGGGGCGCCCGGCCCCAACGTTACGCCACTGCTCAAGTATCTTTAATACCAGGCTCTCCGAAGGAGACACAAAAACCTAAAGGTCCACTGATTAATCTCAGATAAGAAAGTATAATACTTATTCCAAATATTCTCTGATTTCTCTGAATATCTCAATTCATTTTCTCCTATATTTTCCTGGTCTGTGTTTAAATATTTAATTCCAGCCCCGAAGCCTTGACTGAGAAATACCGGGATGGTGTTCGGCGGGGGATAGTTTTACCATTGTGTAGTTAAATTTTTGTATAGTTGACTTCAAAATTGTAATCCCGGCCCCGAAACCTTGACTCAGAAGTACCGGGATGGTGTCCGGTGGGGGATAGTTTTTACCATTGTTTAGTTAGGTTTGTAGTTAAGATAAAAGTTTTGATCCAGCCCCGAAAACTTGACTCAGAAATACCGGGATGGTGTCCGGCGGGAGAGAGTTTCTACCATTTTATCTATTTAGGTAATTGTACAGTATTTGTACTACCTTGTGATCCCGGCCCCGAAACCTTGACTCAGAAATACCGGGTTGGTGTCCGGCGGGGGATAGTTTTTATCATTGTAGTTAAGTTATGTAGTTAAGCCTAACCTTGAGCAGTAATTCCTGGCTCCAAAACCTTGACTCATAAGTACCGGGTTGGTGTCCGGTGGGGGACAGTTTTCCACCAAGGTTTTTACTATTGTTTATTTATTGTAGTGTGCTGGTTACCTTTTTGTTATTTGTTATTGTACAGTATTTTTGCAGGACCTTTTTGTAAAACAGTGATAAGATCTCGCCTGTATATGCTATCCTGCCTAAAGATGTTTTAAATAAATAACAATTTATAAAAGACATTAAAACACGCCATCATGATGATGACATAATACATGTCAACACGATGGCGTGTATTTCAATACTTGCATTATGTACTACACTTTTGATGTAGCTTCTTCTCAAAATCGAATGAACACTTGAGTTTTAGATGTTTCTCCTAGGAGCCTTGGAACAGGTGTTTGCCCTGTAAGGGGAATTGTCGTGAACTGGTATGAAGTACCAAATGAGTTAAAGGTGGACGTCATTCACAAAAGCAACTGCACCCCAAGCATTTATACTAAAACCTGGTTAGATAGAGCATCGATGGTTCCCCCAGATGATCGTAAGTAAACAAATAGTATATTTTGGAACCCTGATGTAAGAAAATACCGCTTCAGTATGAATTTTCTTCCCAATTTTAGCGGATCCGGAGGAATACTTTTTGATATGTAGCCGATTTTTTTCAACAGACATAGAAAAGCGTTTGACAAAAATCTCGGGAACGGTTAATGATATACATATTTATAT